CAGTCAATTCCTGATGCCCCTCTTTTCTCCCTTCCCCATTGTTTGCTCCCATCCTGTTGAAGTTTCTTTTATTATGTAAAAACTGCTTTTATATATACTTATTCTATTATTTTATGCTGTTAGCCGCCTAGAGTGGTCTTAACCGACCAGATGGGCAGGATAGAAATAAAACAAACAAACAAACAAACAAACAAACAAACCATTCCTCCTCTAGTTGCTTTTATAAGCCAGGAAGGGCAAGGGTCCAGCACACATATGGTGGCATTCACCTCTCCAAGAATCCTGTCCACATCATCAGGCTGCACCAACTGAAAAGTATCCATTAAAGCAGGACAAGCCGGGGCCAAAGTTACATCCATTGGGTCTGTATCAATTACAGCATCCAAGTCAGATGACTTACATATTTAATTCTACAGCAATTAAGAACTTGCTTGTTTCTTTATAACATCTCTCTTTAAATATTGACAACATTTCATGACAGAGTCCATTCCTCTGTAATGGAATTTCCTTGGAAAACAGTTTCAGTTCATTTGTTGAAACTTTAGATAGTTCCAGCTAACCAGGCTGCTTGCATGAAAACCCGGTTTCACTTCCTTTATCAAAGCTTGGGACATGAGTCTTATGGGTAAAGGATTGTTCCCATCATTGTAAAGTTTCAACAAGGGAATGGAAGTCATTTTCCAAGGAAATTCTCTTACAAAGGATATTATGGGACTTAAACTCTTGATTGCAGTCTTCTAAAGTGTAAGAATTGGATCATACAAGTTTGACATATTCGAGCACGATTTCTCGGCTTCTTGATGGATTTGAGTGTTTACATTGAATGGACTCTGTACTGATTGAATTTCTATCAATATTTAAAGTGATATGGTACTTTAAGGATATATAGTTATTATAAATAATTCATATTTAGTCAATCTGCACGGGTTTTTCTTTGGTTATCTGGGTAAGCACCGTGTTTCTCTTCCTTTTGATGTGTCTTTGGGAGTTTTTTTTAATGTCAAGAGAATGGGCAACTTATGCAGTTGCTGGAACTCCAGCTCTGCTAACAAACTGTTAACACTGAAATTAAAATGGCATAACAGATTGCTTATATAAAGAGCACCATCTCTTTCCAGAAATCCTATCCATCACATTCCACATTATTATTTGCAGCCAGGAACTTGGATTTATTCACTTCTGAACACCCACTCAGCAGATCAAGTCCTCTCAATAACAGTCACCACCCGAGCAGCATCTGCCTCTGTGCCTCCAGTGATGGTGAAGTCCTACATGAACAGAGATACCAATAGTTATCCTAGCCCAATTATCATTTATGCAGAAGTCAGCCAAGGATTTTTGCCTGTGATTGGGGCAAATGTCACAGTCACAGTTGAATCAGCATCTGGACAAACTGTCGAGCTACAGCTTCTTGATGATGGCTCAGGTAAGCTAACTTTGAGCCTTTTGTAGTATTATATACAAAATATTTGCCTGTATGTATACTTCTCCAATTATTAGTAAGACTTAAAACAAGGAACATTTTACCTGGAGATGTTCCCTTTTGCATGCAAAGCATGTGCTTTATCACAGATCTGTGAGCTAATACTATATATACAACATAATATCTTTGAAGGTGTGGAAATAATCTACCTTTTGGTCTCAGGTAGTTGTGATTTTTAAGTCCCCTCTTTGTTGTGATCTTTTCTTCAACCAGTTTTGCCACTACTATTCTTTTTTTCCATTTGTACTACTCATGTGTACATTGGCTAAAGGTGACACACTGGGAACAGTATGATCTATGATGTGCTTACCAAAATTACTATAAGTATGTGTGCAGTATAAAGAAGGAAGACAGCAGCTGCAATGAAGCAGCAGCTGCAATGACAGCAGCTGTACATAAAGAACCAGGGCACACAACAACAGCAACAATGCAAATGGGGGAAGAAACCACTGATTCTGCCATTTTACTACTTTATAAGTGAACTCAGTAATGCTTGCCCACAGGACCAGATTTTTGAAGTTGGTCCAACCATTGATTAGCAGGCCACACTCCTGGACCACCAGATTTTAGTCAGGCACCATAGCGTCTATGAATTGTTGGATACTGTAGTCACCAGCTAAGCTGAAGATAGCCCCACAATTATGAATGGCAGCCAATCAGGAACTTGCTAGACGTCCTGGTTTTGCTCTCTTTTGCTCTTTGCCTAGTACTTGCCAAGGACATGGCAAGCCACAACAGTGCTTAAGAAAGATCTGGACCACACCCACCAGAAAGACCACTGTTAACAACTGTTAACAACCCTTGACAATGGACAGAGAAGGACTGCAGAAGTGGGATTTTC